GATTTTGAGCAACATTCTCTGTTGGGCCCGAAAGGCAAAAATCGTTCCATTCCTACGGGAAAACGTATACTTCTAGCATGTGCGACTTTTGGGATTCTGAGCTTCCACGATGGCCCTAGAGGCGCCCAAGATCGCCCCCCCCCCCTCCCCCCCGACGTCAAAGGATCCAGGGCCCAAAGACGACTCAAGAGAGCCCCCAGACGGCCCCCAAGACAATCCAAAAGAGCTCCGAGTCAGCGACAGATCGCTCCAATACGCCAACATAGCCGCAAGACGGTCCATGATGCCCCGAAGACGCTCGAAGAGAGCCTCCAGAGGCTTTTCAAAACGGCCCCACAAAGCAAAACACGTCCCATCTCTTAGGAAAACGTATATTTTGAGCGCGTGCAACTTTTGGGCCCTCAAGAGTGTCCACGACGAGCCTACAATCCCCCAAGATCACCCCAGAGATCCCGAAGAGGGCCCCAAGACATGCCAAGACGGCCCCAAGACGGCCCAAGACGCGCCGAAGACGGCCCATGACGGCCCCCAAAGGGCCCTAGAGCCAGAACTCGAAATTACATTTCCAGCTTTCTGCCCAAACGGGACCCCCCAGACCGCCAGCAGGCCTCCAAGAAGCCCCCAAGAGGCCCAACAGAGGCTCCAAGAGGACCCCAAAACGGTGCCCAAGAGCCCCCAATGAAGCTTCAAAATTGCCTCCAAGAGACTACCGACCAGATGCGTCAAACTCCCAGGGAGCGGCCGGTGATGCGCCGCCGGCGTTTCGATTTTTACCAGGCCCAGGCGAATCCTACCAGGCACTTTCTCAGAGTGGTCTCGCACGGCCCAGCCCGCATGGTGGGAGCGGCCAGATCGAGGACGCTGGCGGCGCATCACCGGCCGCTCCCTGGGAATTTGCCGAAGATCGCGCAGCATCGAAAGTCGTGACGTGGCGCGGCCCATCCCGCCACCGTGCTTGGGTTTTGGGTCGGAGTCCTCGTGGACGCTTCTTGGGGTCTCTCGAGAGGGCTCTCGGGGCCTCTGCGGAGGAGTTTAGGGCCTCTTGAGGGCCTCCTGGGGGCTTCTTGTGAGCCCCTTGGGGGCCTCTTGGGGCCTTTGGGGGCTCTCTTGGAGCCTCTTGGGGGCCTCCTGGGGGCCTCTAAGAGCCCCCTGGGGGCCTCTTGGGACCGAAAGTTCAAAATGTTCATTCGGGTTCCCCTTCTGAGCGCCCTCTTGGGGCCGTCCTGGGGCCTCTCTTAGGCCGTTCTGGGTGCCTCTTGGGCCGTCTTGGGGCCCTCTTGCGCCGTCTTGGAGCCCTCTTGGGGGCTTGTTGGGCCGTCCTGGGGCGATCTTGGGGGCCTCTTGGGCCGTCTTGGAGCGTGGGTAAGCCGAAATGGCGAGAACGCGAAAATCCTACAAAAACCATTGAAAAATCAATGACTTTTGCATGTTGGGGCTCTCTTGGGGGCGCTCTTGGAGGCCTCTTGGGCCGTCTTGGAGGCGTCTTGGGCTGTCTGGAGGCCATCTTTGGCGTCTTGGAGCGATCTGGAGCCGTCTGGAGGCTCTCTTGGACTGCTCGGGACTCTCTAGGACCGGCTTGGGGCGCCCTTGGGCCGTCCCCGGGCCGTTTGAGACCTTGAAGGGGGGGGGGGGGGCCGGCGGGGGGCCGGCAGCAGAGCGGGGCCCCCTCGGAGGGACTTTCAGGAGGTTTTTGACCAGGCACTGGAGAACGGGGGCCAAAGACTGTGCCGAACACTCTGTCAGAGAGGTCTCGCACGGCCCACACCGCAGGGCGGGAGCGGCCGGATCGTAAGGGCTTCGCCCTCTGCCGCTGGCCCCCTATATTGGTGCGGGCGGCTGCGTGGGGGTTTCCTTGGGGCCTCTTGCGGATCTCCTTGGGGCCTCTTGGGGCCTCTTGGTGGTCTCGTTGGGGCCTCTTGGTGGTCTCCTCGGGGCTTGGGGCCTCCTGGGGCCCTCTCGGGGCGGAAAGGTCGAGTTTTCGATTCGTGAACTCCCTCTTGGGCCTCCCGTTGGCTGTTTGGTGGCGCGGCGGGGCCTCCTAGCAGACAGTAAACAGGAAACAGGACACAGGACTGGAGAGACAAACGGCCAAACAACAAATGACAACACATAAGACATGACAACAGACCGCTCTCACCTTCGCAGCCTTGCGCCCCTGGAGGGGGCCGTTTTTTTTTTTTTTTTTTTTTTTTTTTTTTTTTTTTTTTTTTTTTTTTTTTTTTTTTTTTTTTTTTTTTTTTTTTGTTTTTTTGTTTTTTTTTGTTTTTTTTTACGCCCGACGTAAGGCTAGGACAGGGATGAGTCGTTCCACAGCGTTTCGGAACGCTCTCAGAGCGTTCTGCGACGCTCTGGAGACCAGCCGCGGCGCCCGGCACATCCGCCAGAGCGGCCAGAGCTCAGGGATCCCCGATTTGTCCTGGTCCGATTTTGCCCCTGTCATGGCCCCGTCTGAGACCTGGTACGGCAGGTTCGCGTCGTGTCGACCGGCGGCGACCCCTGCCGGCGGCGTTCAAGGTTGAACGCCGGCGGCGAAGCAGAATCGGTCGATGTTGAACGATTGGACGTTGCGGGAACGGCCGATCGTTCAAGGTTGAACGATCCCTGCGGTGTCAAAAACCAACGCCGTACCGCCGTACCGCAGCTGGCCTGCGCGAAGCGTGTCCTTTACAGCGGCCGCCGGGCGCCCCCCGAGCAGTGCGCGGTCCCAGAAGTTTCAGTCAGCCCCTTCCCCAGGGGCAGTTTTTCGCCCCGATGGTCCCAGGGCCTGGACAATGGCCCCCATGGTCGAAATTGAGAAACGCGTGGAAATTGTAAAAGTCACCTCGTCGGAGTAGCGAGGGAGGCGGAGGGAGGGGGATGGGGAGGGGGGTGGACAAGCTAGGTGCGCTAGCGTCACATCTGACGTCCTACCCCTCCCTCCCATCCCTTACCATGGCGTATACCTCCGATCTATTCGCACCGTTGGATGTCGAGCAGGGCAATGATCCCAACAGGGTACGTGATGGATGAGGAAGCATGGTATAGAAGAGCACGGCAGGGCTTAGCATGTCATACCATGACGTGGCATTGCGTAGAAGAGCATAACATCACAAAGCATAGCGGGACCGAACACGCCAGTGCTGCTGCGGGAACGCGATTTGGAGTAACCAGAGGCGCGGGAACGAGGCCAGGCACATGATTTGGAATATCGGAGGCGCGGGAACGAGGCCAGCGCTGCAGCGGGAGCACGAGTTTGAATGATTGAAGCGCGGGAATGAGGGCGGCGCTGCAGCGGGAGTACCATTTTGGAACAACCGGAAACGACCATATTGAAGAACGCGGAGAGGGCGGAGAGGACGGGAGATTTTCCGGGCAGACTCAGGGGAGAGAGGAGAGTCGTATTCATATTCTGTGAATGTGGAGGAGGGAGGGGAGCAGAGGCGAGGGGGGATGACAAGCTATGTGCGCTCGCGTCATATCTGACGTCCTACCCCTCCCTCCCATCCCTTACCATGGCGCAGATCTCCTCTCTATTCGCACAGTCAGATATCGTTGCAGGGCTTAGCGTTACATGGCATAGCATGGTGTTGAAGATCAACGCGTAGTCTGACATAGCATGGCGTGGCGACGCCCCCAAGTGGGGGGATGTCGTAGCAGGGCATAGCATTAGATGGTATAGCATGGTGTTGAAGATCAATACGTAGCCTGACATAGCATGGCGTGGCGACGCCCTCAAGTGGGGGGTTCTGCGACCCAAAAAACCAACGATTCGGCACCGGATGTGTAATCACTTCCAGTGGTTGTTTCGGGGGGAGGCATGTTCTAGATGTTGTGTTTATTTGGAGGAACGGAAAACCTTGCCGTGGCATGACGCGCTAGCGCTGCAGCGGGAGCACGATTCGGAACGAGCGGAAGAGCGGAAGTGAGGCCAGCGCTGCAGCGGGAACACGATTCGGAACGAGCGGTAGCCCGAAAATGAAGCCAGCGCCTCAGCGAGAGCAGCATTTAGAAACAAAACTCCCAAGTGAAAACCCAACTCCCGGGAATCCTGTGTTTAAAGAGCGAGTACGCGTAGGGGGGTCGAACAATCCCCGGACGTCACCAGGGGAGAGAGAGTAGTATTCATATTGTGCAAGTGTAGAGGGGGAGCGAAAGGGGAGGGGGGAAGGGGGGTGAGGGAGTGGGGCGAGAGAGGGGAGGGGGAGGGGAGGAGATGGAGGCAGGGAGGGCAGACGAAGGAGAGGCGAGGGAGGAGGTGGAGGAGAGGCAGGAGGGAGGAGGTGGAGGAGGAGAGGGGGCTCCCGCTCCTCCTCCGCCTCCACCTCCTCCTCGTCGTCGCCCTCGCCCTCGCCCTCGCCCTCGCCCTCGCCCTCGCCCTCGCCCTCGTCCTCGCCCTCGGCCTCGTCGTCGACCCTCGGCCTCTCCTGGCGAGAAGGTCCGGCCCCCGAGAGGACGGCGGGCCCGAGCCCGCCCCGGAGCCCTTCGTGCCGTCGGACGCCTGGGGCCTCGGGCCCCTGAGCGCCTGGGACGGCGAGAGCCGCATCGTGTTCGACCGCAGAGGCCTGGACTTCTCCTTCCCTTGCTCGCTCTCTCTCTCTCTCTCTCCCCTCTCTCTCTCCCCTCCTCTCTCTCTCTCTCTCTCTCTCTCCCCTCTCTCTCTCCCCCTCTCTCTCTCTCTCGCTTCCCTCCGCCCCCTCTTTCGGCCGCGTCCCCGCCTCGTCCCCCTCCTGCGTGGTGGCACAATTCGCTCTCACGGCACCCCCGTCTTGGCTTTTCAGTGAGCGCAGACGTCCTTTGCCTCGCCGCCGACGCAAAATTGCTCTCTCTCTCTCTCTCTCTTTACGTTGCATCTTCGGGGGACCTCGCTCGTCCCCGAACATTTGGTATCTATCTTTTTGTGCCCGACGCGGGCTCGATACGGGCCCGACGCGGACCAGGCGTGGATTCGACGCGGATTCGACACAGACTCGGCACGGATCCGACGAGTCCGACATGGATTCGACACGGATTCGACGCGAATAGATCCGCAACAGCACAGGTAAGGTCCCCCGAGGATGCAACATAATGCTCTTTCTTTTATGTTGTTGTTCTCTCTCTCTCTCTCTCCCTCGAGCGCGCGAGAGAGAGGGGGGGGGGAGAGAGAGGGCAGGGAGGAATGGGGACCAGTGTAGACCCAAGTCGCATCAACGATGGTGCAATCGAGCTTCCCTCAAAGATTCCTCTTCATAGGTCCCTACAGGAATTTGTGTTAGTGGTGGGAAGTGACCCATCAGAAGACAACCTTCCGAGAATCCCCAATCGTGCCAGAAAAACGTTCTTGGGGCTTCGACACCGCGAATCAACTTTGCGCCATAACACCATTCCTGGGACTTCAGCCGTACCAGCCCATGAAACTGCTGCAAACGTTTAAGACGAATGTGTGCGTCGCGAAGGAGGGAGCCACATCTTGAACAGGAGCCGTCCTCTATCCTTGAAGTTGTTGCTAACGTTTAAGACGCATGTGGGCGGCGCTAGGGCGAGAGCAACATTTTGAAAACGGCCCGCGCTCCATCCTCGAAACTGATGCACACTTTTCATGCGCATGTGTTGGGCGCTTAGGCGAGGGTCACATGTCGAAAAGGACTTGACTTAAGCCGGGCATGTTCCTCTACAGGAGGAATATTCAAAAATAGTATAACATGTCAGGAGACGTTTTTTTTTGTGTGATTTGTCAAGTTTGAAATAGTTTTGAACCTTGTAGTTGTCGCCTGAATCCGCCTGTAGGAGGGCATGCCCGACCTAAAACTTGTCCTCCATCCTTGAGACAGTTGCTACCTTTTAGGACGAGTGTACGCGGCGCTGAGGCTCTGATTAGCTACCTTTTGAAAAAGGACACGCCTTTCATCCTCGAAGCTACTGCACATGTCGAGCATCTGTGACATACGTACTGAGGAAGTCTCGGGTGAAACGCCTGGCCCAACCTACCGACACGTCTGGGGGTGCGACAGGGAAAGGTTAGACACAAGGAATAAGGACGTAGGAGGAGAGTGATGCTGCTGCTGCTGATGAGGATGAATATGATGCTGATGCTGCTGCTGCTGCTGCTGATGATGATGATGATGATGATGATGATGATGATGATTATGCTGACGATGCTGATGATGCTGATGCTGCTGCAGCTGATGATGATGCTGCTGCTGATGATGATTTGATGATGATGCTGGTAATCATGCTGCTGCTGATGATGATGACGATGGTGATGATGATGCTGATGCTGATAATGCTGATGATATGATGATGACGATGCTGCTGATGCTGATGATGTTGATGCTGATGCTTCTTCTATTCTCTGTGAGCAAGCTCCTGCTGTCTCCGCAGCTTCTCAGCCCAAGTGCCCCCCCGTCGGCCGCGCGTGCGGACGCCTTATGCAGGCGCTCGCACAAGCGGCTCTCGGAGGCGCTGGGGAGATCTTCTTCAGGGGGCTGCGGGCCGCGCTCTACGAGCGGCTCGTGTCTGCCCCTTTCTCTGTTCTTCAGGACCCAGGGCCGCCTGCGCCGGCCTGGTCCATCCAGCAGGCGGACTCGTCCGAGGGTGAGGGGGCTTTCTGCCCCCTCCCTTCGGCGGGTTCCGCCTGCCCCACCGTCTGCCTCGGGCTGGCGGTGGATCTGAGCGGCGGGGTTTCGCCCTGGCTGCTCAGCACGGTCGTCGCCCTCCTTGGGGTGACGGCCGCGTGCAGCGCCTGCGCAGGCTGCTGCATCGGGCTGCTGGGCCCGTACGCGTGGCGGAGGCTCAGGGCCTCCGCCTGGCCGCGCGGAGCGGTTCCTGCCCCCTTTGAGCAGGACCGCCGTGCGGCGCGAGCGCTGGCTTACGGGGTTCCGCCGCGGCCCTGAGCGCTCGTGCGGGCAGACGCCCAGCATTCAGGGAGCAGCTCCCTCGGCTGCGCCCATTGATGGCCGAGCTGCCACCAGTTGGCGGAGGGCCTCTATGGCCCGAGCTCTACCCATTCGCAGCTCCCACGGCTCGCGGCTACGCACGTTGGCGTTTAGACGACGGCGACACCAGCTGGGCAGCTATCCCCCTCGCGTCTCGAGAAGGGGGCATCCTCCTGGCCCTGCCTGGCGCCTTTCGCTCTACGGCGGAGCTCGAGGCTGCCGAGGCGGGGGGTTTTGCGGGGATGATAGGCCCCTTCCAGCTAGTGGACGCCCAGCTCCAGGGGGCCGCTTCGCGGCCGCTCGCCACTACTGCCTCCGTCCTCGTCGTGGATATCGAGGTTGCAGAGCTCGAGCTCGAGTCGCTTTACCCTCTAGAGGTCGGCGAGGACGCGGCCATCGTCCCCTTCGCCGAGGTGCGGGGCCGCGTCTATTGGCCACACCCTTCAGGGGTTCGAGTGCTTCGCGAGGGTTACGCACGCTTGCACGGCGCCCCGCCTACCGCAGGGGAGGAGCCGCTCCCAGGGGCCGATCGGGCTACTCCCTATCACTCTGCCGACGAGATGGAAGAGCCCGAAGGGTTCGCGGCCGACGAGGACGCCGAACGCCCGGCCCCAAGTGCGCGATCTCCCGCGGACGCTGGAGCGCCTCGCGGCCCGCCCCCGAAGCGCACGGGCGCAGCCGCGCCGCCACGGGTCGCGGGCCCCGCTTCGATCGCTCCTGGTGCCCCTGCGGCGGCTCTGGACGACGGGGCTCCTATGACCCGTGCCGAAGTAGCTGCCGAAATGCGCGCTTTGCTTGCAGCCCACGCAGCCTCCACGATGGTCGGCCGACCCGAATCGCTGGGCCCCGAGCCGCCTGCTCGGAGCGATCGGCCCGAGGTGCCTCAGCTCTTCAGCGACGAAGCGGTGCGCCTCGGGCTGGACCCTGCGGGGATCGAGGCCGTCCTGTCCCACGCGCCCGTGGCCCCGCAGCGGGTCTCCGCGCGTCCCAAGGGTCCGACCTCCGCGCTGGTCTCGGCGTGGGAAAAGGCGCGCTCTCTGGCTGTCCCTCGGGCCCCTTCGTCGGGCTTCGGAACGATGGGCCCTCCGCCGCCACCTGGGTTAGCCCATCCCGCTGCGGTCGACGGCTTTGCCGAGGCGGGCGGCGCCGACGGGTTAGAGCCGCCCCATACGGCCAATCCGACGGACTTCAGCCTCATGCTACAGTGCCTGCACCAGTCCCTCCTTCTGCAGCAGGGGCGGGGCCATCGTCCAACCGTCCATCCGCTGCTGGGGACCCTGAGCGACTCAGCTCAATCTCCGCCCGCGAGCTCGGGCGAGCCCGCGCCCGTATCGGCTCAGATGGGGGGCATTGCTCGGAGGCGCGAGTGGCAGCAAGCGCTGATACAGCACGGCCCCGACGTGCGAGGGCTGATGAAGGAGAATCTGGCTCGCGTCCTAGGCGTGGAAGTCAGCGCCGTGACCCCCATGGCCATGCATCAGTACTTTCGGGAGCACAGTCCGTTGGGGGCTCAGCCGACGACGCACGAGTTGCTGACGCATTTCGCCTTTCTCAGCGCCGAGCTGTGGCGGGCCTGCGAAGAGGGCAATCCCGAGAGAGTCCAGACTCTACTGACGTGTCAGTGCATGTTCATCGACCAACTGGCGGGGGACCGCGGCTATCTCGAAGCCGCCTGGTTCCTCACAGGACTGGAGCCTCCCCCGTGTCGCGTGACGAGTCTTCACACGGAGCGCGAGGCCCAGACCCCGTTTTCACCTCTGGTGGACCCTCGTTGGCTGTCGGCGCAGGGCGAATACGTGAAGGAGCTGCAAGCATTTCGGGCGCGTCTCGACGCCGAGCGCGCCGTCGCGCTCCCCAAGCACCCTCCTCACCAGCCCAAGCAGCCCAAGGTTGCGAAGCAGCCCTTCAAGACCCAGGGTGCTTCCAAGGCGCCGAAGGCGGTGCCCAAGAAAGACTGAAGGCGCCTTCGGCGCCCGCCACCTGGAAGGGTGGGCCTGCGGGGGGCCGGGGTACGCCGCCGCACACAGACTGCACCGACGCTGTTGCGGTTGCTAGGCGCGTTTGGGCACAGCGAGGGCGTGAGGGTAGGAATGCGCTCTTCCAGCGATGCTGTTGCGGCCCCGCAGGGAGGAGTACGTTCCGCCACCACGCCCTTCGCTCTGCTCCGAACCGCTTCTCGGATCCCTCGGGCCATTTTGGCCGACGCTTGCCTCAGTCGAGCGCGCCCTCCAGGGGGCCTGCAGCCCCTGAGGTTGGTGTCCCTGCTGGTGCTTGCTCTCCTTCAGGCACCTCTGCTGCTCTTGCCAAAGTCGCGCCATTCGTCGCTGACTTGTCTGCCTTGCTGCGCCTGTTCCCAGGCGCGAACATTGATATCACCCACTGGGCAGCAGCGCTGTCCCAGGTTGGGATGGGTGCTCGATGTTCTCTTGGTTCTTTCTCCCGCTCATCTATGCGTGCAATGGACAGGGACGGTCCGTACCTTTTGGGGCCGCCTCCCCGCGATCCTTGGCCGTGCCCGCCTGCTCCTCCTCTTGGTCCCCCGCCTGACGGCTTGTCGGCGAGGCGCAGGGAGCGCTGGAGACTGCGGCGCGCGGCGCGGACGCTCGCGCAGTATTCCGTTATTGCGTTGAACTGGCTCACCTTGGGTCA